GCAGGCTGGGGGGAAGTGGGACATGGTATTTGGAAGTGGTTCTCGTGTCTTTGTGATGGGTGGAGGGGGGGGGGTTTGGTTTGAGCCAAGTCAGAGATAATGGATCTTGCAGTGGCTGTGCTTTTCAGGCCAGTAATCCACGTTTCAAATGCACTTATTGAGAGAAGGATTCCTTTTCATTCTGCTTTGAGATCCACACGAGATGGGATGTGACGGGTTCTGCCTCGGTCGCTGGGTTTGGGTGTTTTAGCTGAGCTTTGCTTTTGGGACAGCCTTGAAAATGAGTTATTCTGGGGGTAAAATGGGTCTGGGAATTAAACTATAGTGGAATCATAAAATGGGTTGGTTTGGAATGGACTTCCAAGTGCCAATCCAGTGCCACTCCCTGCCAGGAGCAGGGACACCTTCCACTAGCCCAGGTTGCTCCAACCTGGCCTTGGACACTTCCAGGGATGAGGCAGCCACAACTTCTCTGGGAATCCCATCCCAGCACCTCCCCGCCCTCCCAGGGAAGAATTTCTTCCCATATCCCATCCAAACCTACTCTGAGTTGGAAGCCATTCCCCCTGGAACTGCTGGATCTCCCCCTGGTTCCACTGAGATCCAGCTCAGGCTCCGTGAGCTGCTGACAGACCTCTTGCAAATTTAAGCTTCTCTCCAGACTCTTTGTCCAAAAGTGAAGCTTTTGTGGGTTTTTAGAGTGTGTTTGGGGGTTTTTATTTGGAATATAATTGTACTTCTCCTCTTCTGCCCCTGCACATCACCGAGGCTCCGTGCTGTGTCCGTGCCTCTGTGTGGTGTCTCATGGATCAGGAATGTGTGTGCTGGGATTAATCCGGTGTCTTCCTACCACTGGGGGGGAGTGACACAGCTTAACCTGCTCTTCCCATCGTGCTGCTGCCAAACTGGGCCTCCTGAGAACCTTCCAGCTCTCCACAGGGATCCCTCCGAGCCCTGGAGAGCCCAGGCTGTGCCAGGTTCCCTCTGCCCTCCGTGTTTGTGGGGCTGGCTCTGGGTGAACCCAGCACCCACCCCCACTTGTGCAGTGCCTCTGGAGTTCCTTTTCCATCCATTCTGAGGACTCACCTTCTGCCCTGAAGCAGGAGAGTTGCTTCTTATCTCCACCTCGTGACTCTGGCTGCTGTCATCAGTCATAAAGTTATCTGCTGCCTTTTCCCAGTGCTCACTCCTCTGACCTTCCCTCCTCATGGATTCCATGTCTTACACTTCCCACTAATCCATCTCGGAGGCCTGTGAACCAAATAACATGAGATGTTGCCTCTGGTTGTGCTCATCATGAAACAAACCCATCTTCTGGATCGTGTTCTCCACCTCGTCCTCTTTATTTGGATTAAATTTGTTAGACTTCAGTGCTGCTTTTCATCCAGGATGATAAAAGGAGCAGGATCATCCCTCCAAAGTGAATTTCAAAGGACAGAATCTCAGCTGAAGTTTAGCTTGGAGCAAAACGACTTAACTTCAGATATTCCTGCAAATTGGAGGACAAAAGTCCCTGCCTTATTTTCCCTTTTTGCTGCTCTGTCGGGATTTAAATGAAGGGGTTTGATTTTTTTTTTTTCCTGCCATGGCCGTGTTTGTTATGCACAGTTTCCTTTTGCTTTCAAGTCTGAGAGAGGTCAGATTAAATACACACACTAAAAGAGAGGCTGAGCAGCACAAATCCCTGCAGATGGGCTGTTTGGGACTCCCAGCAGCAGGAAGCATCACTTGCAAACAGGGAAAATATGCCAGCAATTTGTCTTTTCTAACCTTGTGCAGAACCACTGGGGAGGAGGTTTTATGTGCAGTGCCCCTCTGCTCTGCCTTCACTCAGCCTGGCAAGGCAAGATCCTCCAAAATTGCCTGTTGTTGTTGTTGTTGTTGTGCAGGGGCAGAAGTGAGTTGCTTTATTTCAGTGCTGGGATTTTAATGCTTAAATTTTGGGATGTGAAACCTGTCTGGTGCAGCAGGGAGAGGGAAGGGAACTGCAGTGTTCAGTTCTCTGCCTTGTGGCTGTTGTGATCTTTGGGGAGGGGAAGGGAACTGGGGAGTTCTTTGCTCTTTGGTTTGAATTCACTCTCTGTGTTCTCACAAGAAAGGCTGCTCTGACACCCACCCACCTTTCCCTGGATTCTGGGGCTGCTCAGGCTGCTTTTGTCTGGAGCTAAAGCAGCAATTTAGGGAAAAATGCAGCCTGGTATTCGTATAATGTCTGTTTGTCCCAGAAAAACCCGAGGCATCTGCAAATTGCATGTAGGAATCCCTGTGTGTGTGTGTGACATGCAGCACAAGGATGTGGAGCTGTTGGGATGAATCCAGAGGGGGCCAAGAGCTGGAGCCCCTCTGCTCTCTGGGAGAGCTGGGGGGGTTCACCTGGAGAAGAGAAGGCTCCAGGGAGAGCTGAGAGCTCCTTCCAGGGCCTAAAGGGGCTCCAGGAGAGCTGGAGAGGGACTGGGGACAAGGGATGGAGGGGCAGGACAGAGGGAATGGCTTCCCACTGCCAGGGGGCAGGGTTAGGTGGGATGGTGGGGAGAAATTCTTGGCTGTGCCTCCTCACAGCCATGGCCAGGAATCCCAAACAGCACTTTGGGACAGCTGTAACCACGGGAGGAAACTTCAGCAGACAAAGTGTCATCAGCCAAGTCAGAAATTGGCCCAGACACTCTGCTTTCAATCTCCTGAGTCTGCTGACACGCTCATTAACAGGTTATTAATGTCCATCCTCTGCCTGGTGCCTGCTCCTCACCTGAGCAGTGCCAGTGACACTGCAGTGTCCCAGGGCACGTCCTGGGGGACTCCAGAGGGAGCTGGGATTGTGTCATCCTTGCACTCTGATCCTGCTGCAGCTCGGGGAGGTCTGGAGATATCCCATCCCAGTCATGGATTGCAACATCCCTGCTTGATCTCTGGGATTTGGCAGGTTTATCCCAACAGGAGACACGGCCACGGGGAGTTTGCTTCCCTTTGGGTCGGGCTTTGCTGCTGCAACCCCCTGCAGGATTATTGTCTGGGTCTGTTGGAACGAATTCTTCTGAACTGAATCAAGTCCAACGTTCCCCATCAGTCCTTCCATCAGTTTGGGATCTCAGTGTCTGTCAGTGCAAGGTAATTCCTGATGGATTACTTGGATCTGCTCCTGGGTACTCTGCTCTGGAGCCAGGCTGGGAGAGCTGGGGGGGTTCCCCTGGAGAAGGGAAGGATCCAGGGAGACCTGAGAGCCCCTTCCAGGGCCTAAAGGGGCTCCAAGAGACCTGGAGAGGGACTGGGGACAAGGGATGGAAGGACAGGACACAGGGAATGGCTTCCCACTGCCAGAGGGCAGGGATAGATGGGATACTGGGGAGAAATTCCTCCTTGTGAGGCTGGTGAGCGGCTGGGCTGGAATTCCCAGAGAAGCTGTGGCTGCCCCATCCCTGGAAGTGTCCAAGGCCAGGTTGGACAGGGCTTGGAGCAACCTGGGCTAGTGGAAGGTGTCCCTGCCCATGGCAGGGGTTGGCACTGGATGATTTTTAAGGTCCCTTCCAACCCAAACCATTCCAGGATTCATATTCACGTTCATCTTCGGCCATGAACATTATCCAAATTTTTCTGTTAAAATGTTGATGGAGTTTTTCACTTTTGGGCCTATTCTGGGGCCTTTGAGGTGTTGATGAACATCCAGATCACCAGTCAGTTTTTAATATATTGATTTACAGCACCCTTGGGGGGAGAGGGAGGAAACTGGATGTTGAAGCAGCTTTGAGGAGCAAAAGCCCAGGAATATTCCTGCAACCAGGAATATTCCTGTAATTCTCTGGAAAACCATGTGGTGGATTCAATATAAAGTCCATGTGTGTCTGCAGGCATAAATCAGTGCCTCTGGGAACACTCCCTGCCCTGCAGCACAGGAAAAGAAGTGTCTGCCTGTGCTCAGATCCAGCAGGGATTCACGTCTCCTGCTCCTGGGGGACTATTTTTAGTTCCAATATTTGAGAGGCAGCTCCTATCTGTGAGGTAATTTCCTGTGTGGTCACCCACAGTCGTTTGGAGCCTTTCCAGGAGGCAATAATTCCTCATCCTGACGGGAAAGATGGGCACTGGATGTGGATCTGTGACAGAAGAGCTCCACTCTTTTATTTATTTATTTGGTTTTCCAGGCAGAGCCCTTCAAATCCAAACCTTGGGCGGTCTGAAGGATTTTCCCAAAGCCTCCTGAAAACGTTTGTGGGATTTATTTGCTTTCTTTAAAACAAACATGGCGTTTATTCACTAATAAATTAGCTCAGGGATATGTAAATATAAGACTTCTGCGTGTGGGAAGGTTGCCTTGTGTGTGATCTGTGCTTAAATCGCTGTTTAAATAAATTAAGGTGCCCCAGTTTGGTAGAGAAGTGTCTGTCCTGACTTTGCTGATCAGCTCATGGACCCAGAGAAAAACCTTTCCCTGCTTTTATATCTGTTTATTTGGGCTGGTTTGAAAGCCAATTCAAATTAAACTTTCTCCTCTTGTCTCCAGGGAGGGCTCTGCTTTTGGGCTTAATCCTATTCCCCCTGGAAATCTGATAAGATCCAGATTAGCTTTGTCTTTGGGAGGGATTAAATTTGTGGAGAATCTCAAGTTTTCCTGCTAAAATTGGGTCTTGTCTGGGGAGAGCCTCGAGTAGCAAATAATCAGAGTATTTTTTTAGCATAGAATAGGGGTGGGGTTTATTAGGACATCAAATTTGTGGTGTTTTCCAACTCTCTATTAGTGAGTGCTCTGAAATGCTATAAAAAAATGATAATTACTGATTGATCCCTGATGCCTGAGGTCGTGGGCAGGTTGTTGGCAAAGTGGGAATGTGCAGCTTGCTCCTAAGGACTCCCAGCTCTGTATTCTGGGCAATCAAATAACTGTATTATTATCCTGGCTGTGAAGAATAAGATTTCTTCCCCTTGCAGGGCAAAATCTGGGAATAGATACCCCACCCCCTTTTCCAGAGGATTCCTCACCCCTTTATGACTTTATAGTGCTTTTCCAAAATCCCGCCCTGCCTTGGGCAGGTGCCACCATCCAATAATTGACCCCCTGGCCCCTCATAATTGTGTTTTTTCCCGTGTTTCTCCCTTTTTTTTTTCAGCCATCTACAACTACGAGGCCGCTCAGGACGTGGAGCTGTCGCTGCAGGTCGGGGACACCGTTCACATCCTGGAGATGTACGAAGGTGGGTCCCACTTCTTGGTGCTGCTTTTTTGGAAGGAAAATGTAACAACTGGAGATGGTTTTCCTGAAATAACACCAATTTTAGGTCTGTGTTTTCCACTCCTGCCGTGCCCGAAGCGCTTTGTTACTCGTCGCCAAAGCACTCGAGTTTTAAAACAATATTAAAAATGCAGAAAATAGAGAAAATTTAACGTAGCTTTTGAGTTCCTGGCAGAGTTTAACGAGGTGAGATTTCTCTGTGTCTCAAGGCAGAGCTACAAGATAAAGGAACACTTAATTCTGGCGCCTCATTCCTGTTTTCACACCACCCCTGTTTGCTTTGGCTCCTCTTTGGGCCATGCCAGGCCTGGCACTTCCATTGCTCTGATGAAGTGATCCAGCTGAAAAATAAT